AAAAAAAAATTGGGGGAAAAAAAAAAAACCAAATTAGAATACGCGCGCCATCTCCGCAGGACGCTCTCTCTCTCTCTCTCTCTATCTATCTATCTATCTATCTATCTATCTATCTATCTATCTATCTATCTATCTATCTATCTATCTCCTTCCCCCCTTATTTATTTGTCTTTCCCTTCCTATCTCTCTTGTAGGGGCAATTACGTAATTGAAACCGAAGACAACCATCTAAGAATTTGTCATTAAGGCAACGCCCGGACAACCGCCCAATCAACATCTTTGTCTTCCTATCTCTCTTATAAGACCAATCTACTTCCTTCATTCGAACGATAGTCTTGCAACACCTCACGAACAGAAACTCGTTGCAACACTTTGCGACGATACTCCTCGAAAGTTCCGAATCAAGTCTGTCTTTGCCGATTGTAATCGAGATGAATCGCAGCATCCACACATCTCCAAGTGCTAATACTCGTATTCAATTCCGTTGTTGCTTCCACAATATCTTGCACCCTTTGAGAACTGTCAAGATAGGACAGGTGTGCAAGTGTCTTTTTCGGACCAATAGATTCAACAGAGTCGTACACAGTAATGTTAAAATTAGAACAACTTGGTTGTTCCAATGGTCCTGTATGGACATGCTGCATGCAGATGGTCTCTTGAGGCCGTAGCGGCCGGCAAAGCAGAAACAACAACAGAAGTAGTGATAATCGGCGTTGACATATTGGAGGGTGAAGCATAATCTGCAAGTCGTTGAAAATTTGGAGGAAATGCTGGTTGAAGGGGGAGTCTACGGACCGGAGCGGAATGAGGAGTGGAAGAAGCAACCACGGGAGGAATCCTTTTGAGAAGTTGTTGTATCTGTGCATATTTGTGAAAGGTTTGGGGAATGGTCCCTTCTGTCGGACAATGCGGCAAATCAAATGTCATCCTAGTAATCTCCTCATTAGACAGAGTGATGAACTGATCGTTCAAAAGTGATTGCAACATGGAAGAAGCCTCCAAATCCGAAACATTCAACGGGTATGAAGGAAGAGGGAATCGTCGTTCCAACCTCGTATTAGTGAGTTTGTTTCTTTTCCACTCCAGGAAGTTTTTCCATATTCGTCCATCTTTCACGACTGTGGCACTTTTGACAAACATTTCAAAAAGCACCGTTTCATGAACAACATGTTGTCGTCCCACCCGATTATCAGCCAAGGTAGGCTCCGCCACTTCGGAGGAATCCAAAAGATTTGTTTTCGCACCACGATTCTTTTTCCTCTTCAAAGTAGATTGAACACAGTCTTCTTTCGAATCGCCCGTAACGGTATCATCCTCATCATCGACAAATGTAAGGTTAAGAGGCCCACCCGACTGACGTCTACGCGAACCATCCCCATCGGCATGACAATCGTCTCTACCCACCTCCACAACCATGTTCTCAGCATCATCAAGGGTATTCCCTCGCGAACATCGACGTTCAACCTCACCAAGAACATGATGATCGTCCCGAGGATGTTCACTTCCAAGATTCACCGACCTCTCATCATTTCCACTTTTCTTCGACCTCTCTGAATGTCCGTCTCCAGGTTTTGACGTAACATTCATATCATATTGAGTGGTATTGATGTTTCCCATTGCTTTCCTCTTAGCACGAGTGTCGTACTTATGCGGCATTCGGGAGTCGCCCGCAAAGAAAGAATATGACAATATTATTTGGAATGCCAAGATTTGACGGAAAATAAAAAGAACCCATCAAAAAAGTTCATGATATACAATATTCTTTGTTAAAAAATTATTATTAGGCAACACAACACGAATGTTGTTGGGATGACCAACACGCGACAAAGCAACATGCAGTTGGTCATGCGCAAAAACCAGTTTGCGTAGCCAAACCCCGACACGCGATACGGTTTGTCCTTGCGACTTGTTAATCGTTACAGCAAAAGCAAGACGGACTGGAAATTGCCTCCTAAACCATTTGAACCCCGTTGTCTCACCATCGCTTGTCAGATCAATCTTGGGGATCAATGGTGTTTTACCCATGTGCATTATTGTCACTTCCAACAAATCATGATTAAGGATCTTCTTCAGAATCAGCCTTGTACCGTTACAAAGTCCTTGCTTCGGTGACAAATTTCGCAAAAGCATCACAGGTGCACCAATTTTTAAGCGCAGCTTGTGAGGTGGAAGGCCAGATTCGTCGAGAGAGTTTAAGAACTCTTGCTCAATAGTGAGTCCGATATCATCCGAATCAGGATAATCAACACTAAAAAGGTCACACACCTCCCAGGAAAGTCCTCAAGAACATGATTGTTAACAGAAACAACATTGTCATTAGTAAAACATAGAATTAATCGAGGCAAGAAATAATCGGCATCCCCCACATGGTTGGACACATCATCAAACGTCCATGAAATCAACTCATCAATCGGTTTATCCGTACAAATCTCACGTGGAAATCTGACCGCAGCAGGTTCATTAGGAACAACACGAGGATGGTCACCATTTCCATTTCGTATCAAAAAGTGGTCATACATTCGTGCCATTTCATCATTCCCCAAGCTTAAGATTCGCATATTTTCGGTCAGTTGATAAACATCAAAACGTTTCCACAAAGGGGACATTGTCATGGACGCATCAATTTGTTGCGCTCGCAATCCGTGTTTCACAACCAGCAAAACATGTCTAAAATCCCCAGCAAGAAGTAGAATTTTCCCACCAAACGGTTCGTTGTTGTTACAGAGGTCCCGAAGCGTAATGTCAAGAGCTTCCAAGTGGAACTTGTTACTCATCGGAGCCTCGTCCCAAACAATCAAGTCTGCACGGCTGATAAGCTCCGCAATATCACTTTGTTTTGGAATCAAGAAGGGACGCGTGTTATCAGGTTTCAAAGGTGCGCGAAATTGTGAGTGAAACGTTTGACCGCCCATCAAAAGAGTCGTCACTATTCCACTGTACGCGATGGCCAATGCAATGACAGAACGGGACCTTATGCTCGCCAAAATTGTTTCAATGCAAAAAGTATTTCCTGTTCCAGCAAGTGCATCGACAAAAGCACGCAACGGTCTTTTCTTTTGCACAGCCCGAACGACGCTTTCCACCAAAACTGGTTGACGTGGACGAAGACGTCAAAAATTAGAGTCATATCTGCATTGCATTTCAATCGGATCATATGACAACTCGTCATTTAGAATCGAGGATACCGTTCTCTTCTCGTAATGTTTGGTTATGTTCTCAGCAATTGTTTCCCCGTTGGGTGTCGGATAATAAAGGCAGAATTGACGGATGTTTTTTCCAGACTCTTGCAAAATATGATCAAGATGGAATAACACTAACGATTCCAAAATGTTTGGGGGAACAATTTCACAATCGTGGCGATACTGAAAATCGCCACCCATCTTATCCCAATGTCCGAGTCGTTAGAAGAAACGGACCTGATCGTTCACTTGACCAAACGCAAGAAGCATAGTGAATATTTTACAAACTTCTTCAGGCATGTAATGTGCAGCGGTTGTGTATATGCATTGATCGTATGCATCTTCTGTTTGCAAAAGGCCCAATCGAAGAAACACGGATCGGAAAGAATCGTATTCCACTCCGTCCACTATACGAATTTCTGCAAAAGAGCGCACCCACGAGAATGTTCATGGTTTAGCAGCACACGCAGATAGAATCGTTCGCCTTC